GTGGTAGCGCGTGCCTGTAGTTCCAGCTACTTGGAAAGCTGAGGCAGAAGGATCGCCAGAACCCAGCAGGTCGAGGCTGCGGTGGCCCGGAGAGGCCATTGCACTCCAGTCTGGGTGACAGAGTGAGACTCCAACTCAAAAAAAAAAAAAGTAAAGAAAGAAAAGAAATCATAATTTGCATGTTACCAAGATCCCTGGGTGAATGTGTGTACCAAGATACCTTGGTATGCATATTAAAGACTGAGAAGCAGGGTTTGGCCACCACCTGGTGGCAGTGTACTTGAATTGCATGTTATTCTTTGCAGTTGAAAGTTCAAACCCAAAGCAATTGTTGAATAAATGAATGAGAGGAGGACTGGCTGGGGGTCTTCAGTTTGAAGGAAAATAATTTTATCATTTCACACAAAAGTCTTCAGCTGTGTTGATTTAAAGATGCCTTATTCCAGGGCAGAGTAAATTGCTGCAGCTCCCCCAAGCTGTAGAGGCTGAAGTTTCTCTTCATGGGACACATACTAAAGGCAACTGAAACCTTCCATGCAGTCCATCTCAGGACAGTGTTCCCTTACAAGATGCATCTGTGTTGGGAATTTTATGATTGCAAGAACAAAAGCCAAGTCCAACTAGCAGGCAGAAAAAAAAGGGGAGTTATCAGCAGGATACAGAGGTACTTACAGAAGTGTGGGCAGGAAGTGTCTACACAGTGGAAAATGGTCATGTGTAATAGAAAGACCACCTCTCTGGCTCAGCTCCAGTTGCAAATTCCCTGGGAAGAACTCTGATTGGCCCAGCTCTTGTCAGGTGCTCATCCCTGGACCAATCAATCCTCTGTAATTAGGAGAGACCTTGGCAGTTTGTAGTCTTGCCAGTGGAGGGGAAGGACAGGTCATAGGAAGGCCCTTGCTGGCTAAAGGGAGCTGGCTCTGACCAGGACCCCCAAGGGCCTCCCTCTCTGCCTCTAGTCAAAGGGCTCCCTAAGGTGTCTTGCTGACCACCTTCCTGCTCTGCCCTCCAGCTGGAAGACATACATCCCGGGCTGGCCTCACTGCCTGGATGAGGCAACTGTGAAAGACTTGGACCTCAACACCAAATACTCCACAGCAAAGAATATCCACTTCTACCTACGAGGCGGCTCTGCGTGAGGATGCCCTCTCTGTTCTGCCCCGGGGCCTCAAATGCTCTATGACCCCTGCCTCCTGCCCTCCCTACCCTGAGTGATATGGGTTGTACAACTCTACCCAGAACACACCTTCTTGCCTACTAACAAGTCTTGCAGGACAATAGTTACCTCCGGGACAGTGACTACCTCAGACCTCAGAGCCTGGTTCAAGATCTCTAGAGGGATAAGACTGGCTGACAGGGGAGGGTTTCCCAGGGCCTCTTGCCCCCTCCGTACCCCTCATATCTTCTGGCAGGTTAACAGAGCTGAGAATCAAAGGGCTGCTAGACCGCAAGGGGCTCTGGAGGAGTCTGACAGAGATGAGAAGGATACTCAACTTCCGGAAGACCTCAGCAGCCGGTAAGGAGCTTGGGCCTTGGCTTCTGATCTCTCCCCTGGAACATCAGCTCCCATGACTGTGAGGAGTCTCAGAAAACCAAGCGCCAATTTGTTTTTTAGAGACGGAGTGTTGCTATGTTGCCCAGGCTCGTCTTGAACTCCTGGGTTCAAGCAATTCTCCTGCCTTGGCCTCCCACAGTGCTGTAATTACAGGCATGAGCCACCATACCCAGCCAATTTTCTGTGTGGCCCTTTTCCTTGCTAGACTTTACTTTCTCTACAGACACAAAAGAGGATAAGGAGACCCCTAGCCTTCTAATGCCTTCTAATCCAACAGACATTTGATAAAATACTACACATTAGACACTGGGTTAGGGATTGTGGACACAATTCTTGTACTCACAGGCCAGTTAAGCAGGTCGGTGGTTATTAATTACACTAAAAGTCAACTGACGTGTTTCATTTGTGAAACGTGCTCATGGGTTCCAGTGAGTGTGTACAAGGGGAACCTGCCCTAGCCCTGAGGGAAGCTCTGGAAAACTCTCTCAAGGTGACATGCTGAGACCTTAAAGTAGGGTAGGCATTAATAATCCAAGGATAGTGGATGGGGGCAGAGAATGGTTCAGGCTCAGGAGACAGCAAATGTGAAGGCCCTGAAGACAAAGGGCTCAGATACCTTCAGGTATATAAAGAAAGAAGCCGGGCTCGGTGGCTCAGCCTGTAATCCCGCACCTTTGGGAGGTTGAGGTGAGTGGATTTCCTGAGCCCGCGGGTTTGAGACCCGCCTGGGCAGCGAGACCTCGTCTCTACAATAAATCAAAAAATCAGCCGGATGTGGTAGCGTGTGCCTGTAATTCCGGCTACTCGGAAGGCTGAGGCGGAAGGATTGCCGGAGCCCAGCAGGTCGAGGCTGCGGTGGCTGGGAGCGGCCATTAGCACTCCAGTCTGGGCGACAGAGTGAGGCTCCAACTCAAAAAAAAAAAAAAGAAAGAAAGAAAGAATACCACTGTGGCCACAGCGTATTGTACAAGGGAAGAAAGGCAAGAGAGGAAGCAGGAGAGAGACATAGGACCCAGATAATGCAGGACTGTGTAGGCCATGGCAGCACTTAGGCTTTTCTTCGGCGCAGTGTAAGCCTATTGACTGGTTGGCAACTAGGGAATAATACGGCCGATATGCTCTGTGGGGGTGGGTTGTTGTGGGGGAAGATTCAGGAGTGTCCTCTCTGGTTGTGGTCGGCAGAGGGTGGTGGCCTCAGCAAGGCAGCAACAATAGAGTGGAGTGGACCAAGAGGCACTCAGGATGGAGAATCAGTGGGATTTGTTGGGGTTGGGAGAGCTGCCAAGAGAGGTCCCCAGGCTCTGCCACAGGTATTGGGTGGATGGAGTTGTCGTTCCCTAGAATGCCAGGCAATGGGAGGGGCTGAGCTGGAGGAAGAGCCTACATTTAGCTTTTGACATGTTGCATTTGGGATTGGTGAGTCACTGGGTGGGAGGTGTCTGGTAGACTGGGATTGGTGGGCTGAGGGCTAAGACTTGTTGTTTGGTGAGTGGGCAATGACTGAAGCCAAGGGGCCAGGGGACATCACTCTGAGAAACTCCACTGTGAAGGTTAGGAGAGACCTGTGGGAAGTGAGGAGACCCAATTCCCATGTCCCCCAACCCCTGCAGAGTACGCATTTGAACACTGGCAAGAGGACACCTTCTTTGCCTCCCAGTTCCTGAATGGTTTCAACCCTGTTCTCATCCGTCGCTGTCGCAGCCTCCCAAAAAATTTTCCTGTCACTGATGCCATGGTGGCCCCAGTACTGGGCCCTGGGACCAGTTTGCAGACTGAGCTAGAGGTGAGAAGCACAGTAGTCCCAGCTCTGCACAGCCCCATTTTGGTACCTTCAGGCCCACCCCTACTGAGGAGGGAAGAGTATACGCACATTAGTTATGGACCTACCGTGTGCTACCTTAGTTAGGGACCTACTGTATGCTATGTGCCAAGCACACCCTCCCAAGACACACTCCTCTCCCAGTCCTGAATCCTCTCCCCCCATCACCTCCTCCCCACTTCCTCTAGAAAGTCAGGTGGCAGCCTCAGTTCCCCTTCTTTCTCCTGCAGAGAGGGTCCCTGTTCTTGGTGGATCACGGCATCCTCTCCGGCATCCGTACCAATATCATTAACGGGAGGCCTCAGTTCTCTGCAGCCCCAATGACCCTGCTATACCAGCGCCCAGGGTGTGGGCCCCTGCTGCCCCTCGCCATCCAGGTCTGCAGCTGGGCAGGGGCAGGAAGGGAGGGTCTGACTCAAAGGCTGGCAGTCACTCACGCTTCTCTCTCACCTGCCTCCCCACCAGCTCAGCCAGACTCCCGGGCCCAACAGCCCCATCTTCCTCCCCAGCGATGACAAGTGGGACTGGCTGCTGGCCAAGACCTGGGTGCGCAATGCTGAGTTCTCCTTCCACGAGGCCCTCACGCACCTGCTGCATGCTCACCTGCTGCCTGAAGTCTTTGCCATGGCTACTCTGCGCCAGCTGCCCCACTGCCACCCACTCTTCAAGGTCAGTGGTTCAGCAAGCTGCCCAGACTGTGCCCAAGCCTGCAGGTCCTTGCTCCTTGCCTGCCTTTCCGTGCCTCTTCTCAACAGCCTTTCCCCCAGTGGCCCTGTCCTTCAGGCTGGGATGCAGTGTCCCTACCCTGCTTCAGTGGCATCTCTCTGCATAACTCCCCTGGGAGCCTGCTTCCTGACAGGCCCTGAGTAAGATGAATGCTGTGCCTGGAGAGGCTCCTTTCTGTAGGAACGTCAGACAGGAGGATCCCCAGTCATCACAGAAGCCCAAATCCTAGAAAAGGAAGAACCTGGAGCTGGCAGATGCCAAAGTGCGAACATGGTTTTGAGGGACCGACTGGTTTTCTGCAGATAGTTCCAGGGGACAGGGGAGCCCTGGGAGGTAGACCCACGTGCTCCGGAGTGGACTCTGTAGCTTCCTTGGACCCTGCCGAGTAGATGGCACGTATTCCTTTCCCCCTCAGATCTGGGGCAGCCCCTCTGTGAAGGATAGGACCTCCCCCTCCAGAGGCCTGCGGCTGCTCAGATTCTTCAGTTCTTGCTTAGACAGTCTCCTGGGTCCTGGATGTAGGTCCCACTCTATGCTCTTCAATCCCAGCTGATTCTTTCTAGCCATCTGCAACTCAGAGCCTGCTACTCATTGCTACTGAGCCTGGAACACTGACTCCTGTCCCAGGCTGTCTCTTCTTGTCCAAGTTGTCTTTCCAGTCTTTCCAAGACTGGTACTTCTGTTGGGGGAGGCCTGGGGTCAGAAAAGACCCAGGGCTCCCCCAGCTCTGACATTCATGCCTGTACAGCTGCTGATCCCACACACAAAGTACACGCTGCACATCAACACGCTCGCCCGTGAGCTGCTCATCGCACCTGGGCAGGTGGTGGACAGGGTAAGGGCTGTCTTGGAGGAGGTGTGGGTGGGCCACTTCTTCAAAGCGAAGAATCTGGGGTCCTGGGGTAGGAGTGACCCATCTCCCCTACACCAGTACTACCTACCTCCTGTTTCCAGAGCAATGTCTCTGGTACCCAGGAGTCCTGTCTCCCAGTCCACAGGCCTTGGCATTGGAGGCTTCTCTGAATTGATACAGAGGAACATGGAGCAGCTGAACTATTCTGTCCTGTGTCTGCCTGAGGATATCCGGACCCGAGGAGTTGAAGACATCCCAGGCTACTACTTCCGGGATGATGGGCTGCAAGTCTGGGATGCAGTGGAGCGGTGAGGGGGTCATCCTTAGCTAAGAGCTTGTGGGGAGGCAAGAAAGGAGAGGGAGGCCCCAAGGAGGCTCACGAGGAGGAAGAGAGCTGGACATTAATAACACTGGGCAGAGGCTTTCTTCAGGGAGGGTCGGGGTCGAAGGCTGAGATTGAACCTGTGTGTATCTTGCAGTTTTGTCTCTGAAATCATCAGCATTTACTACCCGAGTGATGTGTCTGTTCAAGATGACGCAGAGCTCCAGGCCTGGGTGAGAGAGATCTTCTCTGAGGGCTTCCTACGCAAAGAGAGCTCAGGTACTGAGACCCCAAGTCTCGGGCCCCACCCTCAGGTCTCTGCAACATGGTCCTCAGATCCCTGGTATCCCCAGCCCAGCCTAGCTCTCCCCACAGGTGTGCCCTCCTCGCTGGAGACCCGGGAAGCCCTGGTGCGGTATGTTACCATGGTGATATTCACCTGCTCAGCCATGCACTCTGCTATCAGCTCAGGGCAGGTGAGGAAAGGTCAGTGCTAGGGGTGGTGGGATGGAAGTGGCCAGGCTCTTCAGCCTCATTCTGCCCTCTCGGTCTTCAGTTTGATGCCTGTGCTTGGATGCCCAACCTGCCACCCACCATGCAGCTGCCGCCACCCACCTCCAAAGGACGGGCAAGACCGGAGGGCTTCATAGCCACCCTCCCACCTGTCAATGCCACTTGTGATGTTGCCATTGCCCTCTGGTTGCTGAGCAAGGAGCCTGGAGAGCAAGTGAGTGTGGGGCTGGTATTGGGATAAGGGAGGGTATATGGTTTACCCTCCTGGCCCAGACCTGACCCAGCCATCTCACAAAAAGGTTCATATGGCCAAATGAGATGATGGAGAGTCACCCTTAGCTACCAAAAAATGTTTGATTGTGCTTCTTTGAAACTCCAAGTTGAGCTGTTATTCCCCAGAAGCTTCCTGCAGATAATCTTTAGTTGGAGATCTGTTTACAGGGAGGGGCATGGACCAAGCTCAGTTGGAGCCTTCTTCAGTTCCCCGGGTTGGGGGTTAGGGCCAGAGCTAGTTAAGGCAAGTCATAGCTGCTCAGAGGATGGGGACAGGGAATCTGGGATCTGGGACCTCAACAGCCCCCTTACCTAATCTTGTGGTTGGTCCCCAGCGGCCTCTGGGCACCTATCCAGATGAGCACTTCACGGAGGAGGCCCCCCGGCAAAGCATCACTGCCTTCCAGAGGCGGCTGGCCCAGATCTCGAGGGATATCCGGGAGCGGAACCAGGGCCTGGCACTGCCCTACACCTACCTGGACCCTCCCCTCATTGAGAACAGTGTTGCCATCTAAGTCACAGGAGAACATGGTGCCTTGTGACATACATCCCTTTGACCGCATAGCTCTAGGCTAGCTAGTGACCAGAGAAAAGGACCGCCCCCCCCCCACCAGGAAAACAGGCCCTGTGTAATTCACCCCCAACACCCCCCCCCAGAGAAACAACCAAACAAAAAGGCCACTGAGAACAGAATCTCAGGGCAGTACCATTGAGCTTTTTGGAGATTTCAAGTCTCAAAGTGCCTGCACAGCCCCCTTATGGGTTCTGCTAGTTAGTCTTGTTTTGCATTATGTTACCATGGAGGGAAGCGCATAATCCTGCCCATGAGCCCACTGACCACCACTGGCTGGATCTCCTGGTCATCTGACTTAAGAGCCACCAAGAAGTGGCTCAGCGTAAAAACTACCCAGAGGTTGATTGTGACTTACTGTCTCAGCTTTAAAATGAACAAACACTGAGAACAGGTTGTTGGAAGCCAGGCAGCAGGAAGAAGACATAGTTCCAGGGTCAGTGCAGATATGTCCATGGAGGCTTTCTTAAGCACTTCCCCTAAAGTTAAAGACTTGTATAGTATAAAGTGGGTTCCATTTCCAGAGAATTAGAAAATATTATCATATCACTAATCATACCTTGCCTGCTATTGATGGAATTTCAACATTTTATACATGTTCTTTTTTTTTTTTTTTTTTTTTGAGTTGGAATTTCACTCTGTCACCTAGACTGGAGTGCAAGAGTGCAGTGGCTGCTCCTGGCCACCGCAGCCTCGACCTGGTGGGCTCTGACGATCCTTCCGCCTCAGCCTTCCAAGTAGCTGGAACTACGGACGCACGCTACTACTCCTGGCTAATTTTTTGATTTATTGTAGAGATGAGTTCTTGCTAAGTTGCCCAGGCGGGTCTTGAACCCGCGGGCTCAGGTCCACTCACCTCAGCCTCCCAAAGGCGCGGGATTACAGGCTGAGCCACTGAGCCCGGCCTACATATTCTTTAATTATGTTTTTCTGGCTCAGATTCAGTGAGAATCCACTAAAGTTAAAAAAAAAAGTGTCCTTTAAAAAATAATAATAACTGCAGTGGAGACACGTGGTAGACATCACCTTAACCAAATGATACAGGTGAATGTCATAATGGTGTCTCACTGATATCATGTTACTCTGCTCTAATGTCATGAGAAGACCACCTCACCTCTGTGGTTTCTTCCAGAAACCCATAACCACAGCCTGATGATGAGAAAAATACCAGACAAACCCAAATTGAGGAACACTACAAAATACCTGACCAATACTCTAAAAAAATAAATATTTGTATATATTTTTTGCTTTTTTGGTGTAAGAAAAATTGTCTTTTGAGTTCACCTAATAATTCCATCTCTGTTTCATATTGCAGGCATGAGTGCTTTGGTTTTTCAGTTTCACTAATTTTTATAAGACAATGTGAACAAAATGCAATATATATAGTATCACTGCACAAACACAAGCATTGAAATAAACGGAACAGTGCTTCAGAAAGGGTGTTGTTGACTGGCAGTGTTAAACTGTTTATTCCTAATCAATATACCAAAAGTGATGTAGAGATATGTATTTGTCAAACTTCTTTGGTTTCAACCAACAGAAAGCAATTCCTAGCCAGGCTCGGTGGCTCAGCCTATAATCCCACACTTTGGGAGACTGAGGTGAGTGAATTGCCTGAGCCCGCAGGTTTGAGACCCACCTGGGCAACTTGGTGAGACCTCATCTCTACAATAAATCAAAAACCAGCCGAGCATGGTAGTGCGCACCTGTAGTTCCAGCTACTTGGAAGGCTGAGGCAGAAGGATCGCCAGAGCCCAGCAGGTCAACACTGGGGTGGCCGTGAGCATGCCACTGCACTCCAGTCTGGGCAACAGAGTGAGACTCCAACTAAAAAAAAAAAAAAAAAAAGAAAGCAATTCCTGCTAACTTATGCAATAAAGGAGTTTATGGAAAATAAATGGAGTGCCTTGAGGATTAGAGTTAAAACATGCAGTCTCAGGGAAGATAAGAAACCCAGGAAACTCTAAGCAACCGGGGCACAAGAACCAATGGACACCGTGCCTAGGCATTGCTATGAGAATAATGAAGCTCCTACCATTTTTGCCTTGAATTATTTGCCTCTATACTCAAACTCCCTGAGATGGAGTCTGTTTGACTTAACTTGAAGTGGAAGAAACCATTGACTGCCATAGCAGAGAGTTTACACTCAGTGAATAACCCATGCACTTTCCAACTTTTCCCAGACTACCTTTCAGTTAGGTCAGGGCCATGTGACTAATTCTGGCCAATGGACTGAGAGGAGTGACATATTTCCCTTCCAAGATGAGGCAGTTAGGAGCTGTTTTGCCTCTTTTATCCTTCTATTGCTCTGCTGAGGCTATCTTGGAGGCATGTTCCACTTGACATAAGCTGGTCCTTATTGCTATCACTGGACATAAGCTCAGGAGAACAAGGTTTATAGCTGCCCATGGTGCACTACAAGTGCTTGGTAAATTCATGCTGAATGAAGAAATTTACACATAAGTAATTCCTAGCCTAAGTTTGTACAGTATGTTACTATATTGAGTACTATAGGCAATTGTAATGGTAAATATTTGTAATGGTAAATATTTGTGTGTCTAAACACAGAAAAAGTACAGTAAAAATACAGTACAAAGTATTTTAAAATGGTACACCTGTACAGGGCACTTACCATGAATGGAGCTTGCAGGACTGGAGGTTGCTCTGGGTGAGTCAGTGAGTGAGTGGTAAATGAATGTGAAGCCCTAGGATATTACTGTACACTTTATATGACTGGAAGTACAGTAGGTTTGTTTACACCAGTATTACCACAAACGTGTGAGCAATGCATTGTGCTATAATATTGTGACAGTTGTGACATCACTGACAGGAATTTTTCAGTTCCATTATAATCTTATAGGACCACATCAGCTGATGACTAAAACATCATTATGCAGTGTATGACTACAGAGAGATATATGAGAAGATTTATTAAGGGAATTGGCTCACATGATTATGGAAGCTGAAAAGTTCCATGGCAGGCCATCTGCAAGCTGGAGAATCTGGGATGCCGGTAGCTTGGCTCAGCCCAAGACCTAAGGCCTAAGAACCAGGGAAACCAAAGGTGTAATTCTCAGTCCAAGGCCAAAGGCCTGAGAACCCAGAGATGAGGGATGCTGGTATAAGTCTTAGAGTTCTTGACTGGAGAACCTTGAATTCTGATGGCCAAGGGAAGGAAAAGAGAGGAGAAGGAGAGTGGCTCAGCTCCAATAGAGAGAAAGAGGAAACTCCTTTCTCTCCTTTTTTGTTCCATTAGAGTCACTAGCTGATTGGATGGTGCCCACCCCCACTGAGAGTAAATCTTCCCCACTCAGTCCTTGACTCACACACCAATCTTTTCTGGAAACACCCTCAGAGACATACCTAGAAGTAATGTTTTATCTGTTCTCTAGGTATTCCTTAATCCAGTCAAGTTTGCACCGAAGATTAACCACCACAATTATGAATTTTTATATAATATAGATGTAAAACAAGTCACACGATGATAAGCATATTGTTAGAGACACATCTTGGTGGGACCTCCAAAAATGTTAGGGTCACAGTCCTATCGGGGCCTCCAGAATGTTAGGTCAGGCCCGCTGAGGGTGTGTCTGGTGTGCAATCCAATGCCACAAGAAAGATGCAAAGAATTGTACAGAAGTTAGGTTGGGAAATATAGTTTATTTAAAAGTAAATTAAAAAGAGAAAGAGTGAAAGGTTGGGCTGGGCTTGACAAGGAACCTAAAAGTTTACTAGAGATTATTATGCTAAACCATGAATTGAAAGGTTGGGCTGTCCTGGTCTTGCATCTGATGGAGATTTGCTGAGCGGGGATGGGATAGGCTGCTGCTTGTCCTGCAGTAGAATGTCTGAACGCTATCTAATGGTTGTGCTGAAGCAAAAAGACTAAACTAAGAATAAGCGAAGTTTCTTCTAGGTTTCTATAGGTACCACCTTTCAAAGAGAAGATTCACCTCCCCAAGGTAGGAAAGGGGGCCAAAGTCAGGAAACATGGAGACAGACATAGCTCACAGAGCATGTGGCCACACCAGAGTCTAGTAAGGCAATGACGGTGGTAATGACATATCAGTGGCCTAGCAATGGCTGCTGGCCGCTGGAGGTTGAATGCTTTTAACACTTCCCTTTGATGAGGGAAGGTCATTAAGATGATTGGGTGGTGGTCTGATCCATGTCATCACGAAGGGGCAGGTAAGCGCAGGTACTGAGGTCAGGTAAGCAGATGAGGTCAGGTGAGCAGGTGAGGTCAGGACAGCAGGCAGATTGGTGGGTTAGTCACATGATTGCTGCCATAGTGGTGGGTGTCTGAACGCTTCCTAAAACCTGTGTATTGGGAATTTATCCATCTATGTCTAACCTGTATTAGATTCAAAGCGTGTCGGGGTAAAGTCTAAGCAAAAATAGTTATGCTGAGGTAAAAGTAGGTACCTCCTTTCACATATGATCCCTTTTATGGTTTAAAAAAAGCTAAGTAAAACAGTACAAATGCCAAGAAAAGTCTGGAAGGATGGATGAACATCCACTTGTTGCTTGAGAAGGGGAGTGGGTTGTACAACAGAGCCACAGTGAAGAGTAAGGGAGTGGAGGCCTTAAACTGAGAGGGGGAGAGAAAGAGAGAGAGAGAGGGAAGGAGGAGGGAGAGGGAG